GCGTATTTATAGCCAAAAGAAATCTGAATATCAAACCGCAAACTATCTTTACTGCGGTGAATCCTGGACATTTTGGGCAATTAAGAAATCCAGGCCGGACGCATTTTTTTAGGTCCAAAAAGAGGACATGTCCGGGGAAAGAGGACGTATGGTCACCCTAATTTATTGGTAATCGATGTATTCTTTTTAAAGTAGTGTATGGAACATATTTTCTGCCTCATTCTGTGACAAGAAGCCTCATCAGGTCACAAAAGGAAGCATTTGACTGGTGTTGTGGAGTAAAAAGGTTATACTTTTCTCTTTTGTTGGACAACAGGTTTAGAAATGTGAATGCAAGGGAGGTTTAGCTTTAGGCATTTTAATTTAAGGATGTTTAGCTTAGTTAACGGAAGGCTACCTGCTGCAGTCAGAGCAAGTGTAATTACTGCATGTCCTCGGATGCTCTCATTTCCCGAGTTGTGCTTTTAAGTCGGAATGTGAAAACAACATGGACACTCTCGTTACTACAAAGATGTGTTGGATTTGTATTATTAGAGCTTTCCGACTTGAGTTCATTTTATTCAAATTATTTTTCACGTGCGGTGCCAGTGATGATGCTTCTTACGTCCGTTTCGGAGAACCAGAGGACAAATATTTCAATCGATCGCTCAGGCATGGCACTGAAATGAGGCACCGAAATATGCGTTCGGATTTGGTTCTAGTACATACCGGTTACATAGGTACCGGTGCCATATTGGTAGCGGTTTCGGTACCCAACCCTTATACCGTAAGATAAAATAATCCATGCGAAAAATGGCAAAATGTTACTTGGTCAAGCTGTGCTCAGGACTCTTATTTACAGGCTAATTTTGGCTGTGTCTAACACATCTTCCTGCAAGCATTCAAGTGAGTGAAGGAAGTTCAGTTAACTTGCTTGAAATTAATACCTAGGATTATTAAGAACATGTCAAAGTGAATTTGTTGCACATTGTAAGTGATCCTGAGATGATCGGAATACATTTGGAGAGTCTGAAAAGCGCTAAGCTGCACAAATGAACTGGACAACTGAACAAATGAGTGGCATTTTGTTCTACAAAATATAATCAATTGCGTTACTTTAAAAAGAATGTGTTGCTATTACTAAACAGCAACTTTTCATTTCAATGGCCAATATGAGAGATGTTTGGCTGGTTCAATTGAGGTTTGCATATACACTCTTAGTTCTAAATTACAGCAAAGACCAAACAACAGACTTCAGTACTTTATAAATGTAAAAGAAAAGATGAGCAGGACAGGCATATCATGTCAAGGGTACAGAATGAATTTCATGAGACAAAAAGGTCATGAACGCCAGAGGCGTATGGCATCTTTGTCTTCTTAAAGCAGGACAGACAGGTCGAGCTCACAGTGATCACAAAAGGCCAAAATGAAAGTCACAAAAAGAAGAGTCATTCGACCTCTTTCCACCAATCACAGAGCTTATCATGTGATGGCGGTCACTTGAGAACAATTTAGAAGCGCCTGTTCTTAAATATCCACCAATATTACAGCAGGATGAAGGGAAAGATTCAAATAAGATTAGTGACAAACAGCTCAAGATTAAAACAAACAGCATAACCCTGTCATGATCGGCACGGCTCTACTCAAAACAACTCTAACAATATGATGGTGGTTTCACCTTATCCATTACTTCAGACTCCACAATATGTCAAAAGAGAAAATAAACACGTGCACATTATCTGTATGGTATTTGGCATCCAGAGAGCTCAAAGCATCCAAGAACCTGCAGTACCGCTGATCTGTTTAACCCTGTAAAGCCTGACTTATGAAATAACAGTCAGAAAAAACACATTTTTATTGAACCTTTACTTTGCATAGGCTATATGTTCAGAAATCTTGGCGTGATCTTTGATGACCAGCTGACTTTCAAAGACCACATTGCAAAAACCGCTCAATCATGCAGGTTTGCACTGCACAACATCAGAAAGATCAGACCTTCCTAACGGAGCATGCTGCACAACTTCTTGTCCAGGCCCTTGTCATTTCTAGGCTACTGCAACGCTCTTCTGGCTGGACTTTCATCATGTGCAATCAAACCACTTCAAATGATTCAGAATGCAGCAGCACGACTTGGCTTCATCGAGCCCAAAAGGGCCACGTCACACCTCTCGTTATCTCCCTGCACTGGCTACCGGTTGTGGCTTGCATCAAGTTTAAGACATTGAGACCTGCGTATAGAACAGCCACAGGCTAAGCACCGTCCTACTTCCACTCACTATTACAAATCATCATCCCCTCCAGAAGCCTGAGATCTACAAGTGAGCGACGCCTCGTGGTACCATCACAAAATCACTTTCCAGAACTTTCTCGTTCACCGTTCCTGGCTGGTGAATGATCTTCCCACCCCCATCCGGAATGCTGAATCCCTGACAATTTCAAGCGACAGCTGAACTCATCTCTTTCGTCAACATTTGACTGCATCCTAAAAAAAAAATTGTAAAAAATAAAAAAATAAAAAAAAACTTTCTTTACTCTTTCCTTAATCCCTCCCTGTCTAGCTTGTACTAATCTGAACAATGTCTGAAACTTTGTATTACGAGCACTTCCGGTGTTAATTTGCCTCTTAATGATGAATCGCTTGTTGTATTCCTCAATTGTAAGTCGCTTTGGATAAGAGTCTGCTAAATGAATAAATGTAAACGTAAAATGTAAATGTTTAATTCTGAGTATCAAATATGATACAGTAGTCTTTATAGGGTTAATGAGCCAACAGACAAAAATAGTACTAATATCCAGATCCAAACAGAGTCTGAAACCCATTTTGAAAAGGGTCAAAAGCGAGCAGAGAGGTAAACGGAGCAAAGAGTACTGCACTCCTGATGGCAGCTGAAGGCAAAATATATAATAAAGAAACACACAGGGGGTGAAGGATGAGTAGGAATTTGTGAATCATAGGTTTTCTAATTCGGCGTACTGTACAAATTCCCTGTGGGCCTAATAATAGTGCAAAGAAGATTTTGATGACCAACAGCACAGCCAACTCTGGTGCTGGGACTGGTTTTGTATATCGCATAATGTGTCTTATTATGCATATTATCTATATAGTATTTGGCATCGCAAGAGCTGTGCCGCTGTTTGTTTAATGAGCCAACAGACAATATTTCTCAACAACAAAAGACAGTAACGAAGCACTGACATTTTTGTTTTGCTCCAAGCAGGAATCCTCCAGCAGCATGCATGAAGAAATGATGTTTGAAAGTCTCTCTCTCTCTGAGGGGTTAATAGCTAACATGTGCTTTAAACTAGCACAAGCTCTCTCCCATAGCACCACTACACATTCCTGAAGAGTTTACAGGGTTAATGCATGAGCACGGGTAACTAGACCCTGAATGAGTTTTCTCACACATCTACCCTCAAACAAAGCTGTTTCTTACATCGTTGCACTAAGATGAAGGTAGAGCCACAGGAGGTCCTGGTGTGCCACATTCAACAGCAAAGAAGAAAACAACAGATGCCACAGCTGATAGTTTACAGCAACACTTTTTAGCCACTATTAAGTGCCGACAAGCACACCAAACAACACATTCAGAAAAATGTAGCTGCTAATACAGTAAGCCCTTCACAAGGGAGAATCAGTAGACATGTGTTCTCCATCTTCCTCTTTCATATAACCATGTCTTCATGGAGTGGGAAGAGCAGGGAAACAAAGGCTGATTTGTTCTGTAGCTCTAAACAAGGATGAACTGCAAGAAAACAGCGAGGAAGTAGGGGTGTGCGATATATATCGTCTGCGATAATATCGTAATTGTTGTTTTAACGATGTGCGATTTGACATTATCGAGTATTTTGCAAAAACCATTCAAAACATCCCTACAGACCAGCAAAATAACACACTCAGCAACATATCGTCTAATTATCGTTATCGATAAAATCCCATAAAATATCGAGATATAATTTTTTGTCAATATCGCACACCCCTACGAGGAAGCAGACTATGGTACATTTAATATCATCCAAACCCTCGTTTTCTAACCAAAATAAATTGGTCTCAATCTCTGACAAAAACAAATGCAAGGGAATAATTAGCAATCAAACTTTAAGGTGTTTCATTAACCGATTCAACATCTAGAGAACAGGGTGGCTGATAAAACCAATTGATGATGGCCCGTTCACACCAATAGCAGAACTATTTTAGCATCCACACCAACTTATGTTCTGTTTATTATATGTGCAAGATGAAGTTTGCCGGTTTAAATGCTGGAGCTCTTTAAAGTCGGGTGGTTTCTGATTGGCTGACAATGTTTTTAGAGTGGAAAAAACAATCGTTCCTCTGTGTCAACTCCACTATTTCCACAGAACCAGAACAAATATTAAAACATTGAAGTTGTAGTTAACATCCTCGGTGTGAATGGGCCTTAACAACACAATTTAATGACGACTAACCACTGCAATATTTATGGAAAATTCACAATGTTACAAAAAATATGCACTAATCATTGGTAAGGCTGTTGGTTAGGTTTGACCACTTTTGCTATTATGGCTCAGTCAATGCTTATAGTCTCAAATCTAGCAAATATCAACCAATTAAACAGTTTGGTCTATATATATATTGGTTTATTATTATAAATAATGTAAGAATACCTGCTACAGAGCAGCAGGAATCACTAACTTCACATTGAACTTTACGCTGGACGCCTGAATTCAGTGTATGATGAATTATAGTTGAATCTGTGTACTATAATTCAGTTTCCAGTGAACAATCATGTGTAAGCCGACCGTGAGTCAATGAAACCGCGGTTAGCGTGAGCATTATTCGGCTCGGTGACCGCAAACTCATCCTGAAGGGTGGAAACTGTGTACGTACCGAGTTTCTCCACGAGTTTGAGCATCACACCGCCGATGTGGATTTCCCCGGTGACTCTGAGAGACACGTCCCTGTTGAGGTCAGTGACATGCATCTTCAGCTCCCAGGTCCCGTCTGCGTAGCAGCCATCCGGCATCCGTATACCGTCCAACGCCATCCTATAGAAACAGCGTTAAAACCATTATGATCGGTCAACTTCAGCAACTAGTGGCCTACAGGCTAAATCAAAATCAAAGCTCTTCAGACTGAAATACAGATGTGTTTGTTTGTTTATCTGTATAGCACATTTAAAAACAACTCATGTTGACCAAAGTGCTTTCCAATAGAACAACATATAAAACCGAACTAAGACAGCAAAAACATAAAAACAACATGACAAACACTAAAATACAAGACCATCAAATACGCACCAGCTAGCTCACACCAAATGCCCCGGCAAGTAAGTGCCATCTTAAGAGGGCTTTAAAATGACAGATCTCAAAAGCTAGTCAGCTTCCCACCTAGACAACATTTTGGACTGAGCACTTATGATGCACTCCAGATAGGCAGCACACTAGGGATGTAACGGTATGAAAACTTCATATCACGATTATAGTGACCAAAGTTATCACGATTATCAATATTATCACGGTTTTGTTAAAATTAGATGAAAACGTTCAATAGGAACTGATACACACTGAAATCATTCCAATAAGTTTTATATTTGAAAATCAACAAACAACAAATACAATTAGCAGCTATATGCACTTTTTTTAGCATAAACATTCAATTAACAGAGCACACTAACCTTACTTTTTGAGCTAATAGCAATGTACACAGACACAACACTTTATCAATGAACTGCAAGTAGATGTGCAAAAAAAAAAAAAACACATGAAACACTTTAGGACTGGGAAATGGAAAATGATATTAGAGTTATTAAATATTACATATTATACATTATAGACGGTACAGTTCATGCCAAAAAAGCCCATTTAAACTGAATGGCTATTTCTAGAAATCTGTGTGAACTAAATGCTGAAGTAGTTAAATCATACCAGCCGCCCAATGTTATAAACCGCAGTGAATCCTGGAGGTTATGATGGTTTTAGTTTAGTGAAGTTAAACCTGTAACGTTAAGTTAGCTCCCGAAACTAACGGTCAAACTCCGAGCTAGGGCTCCGATGGCGTCAGCAGCCCCGCTCCAAACGCCAACTAAATACAGAGAGCCAGGTCAACGATAGAAAACACACCGAAACCACGGAGAAAGTTACGGTTTACTCGCTTTCTGGTCGAATACGAGCGTAGGCTTCCGAATTAAAGTAAGCAGTCGGGTTTGAAGAGCGCAACAGTGAGGTTGTTATTCAGAGTTGCGGAGTAACGTACGCCAGATCAATCCTGAGAGCCTGGGTGAAATCATAGCGTTCACTAACCTTCACAAATACGCCGAAACAAATCCGCAAAACACGACTTCAGTCCCCGGAACTTCAACACGCTACGCGTTTTCTTTCCTTCGACCGCGTATTTAATCCTATCATGAGGAAGGTTCCCGAAAGAGAAAAAAATCGCGTCCAGCGGCGGAGCTCCTGGAGGCTTTTGCGTTAATGGAGTCCAGCGGCCGTTCTGTCTGTGTGTGTGTGTGTGTGTGTGTGTGTGTGTGTGTGTGTGTGT